AACCATCTTGCATCTCGCACATACGCAGCCTTTTTTTTTTTATTATTTTATTATTGAGATAATAATCCAAGTAAGAGTATGGTGCTAATTTTTATTTGAAAATATTCAGGATTCCAAATACAGCATTATCAATTTGGACTTTCCTTCCTCCAAAGACAAAACTCTCTACATGCAATTGTTACCCATAAAACTCAGGCATCCAAGTTCATGTGGAGTTAAAAAGTACCTAGTCTCAGAATTAGAAATATACCCAGTATCTTTGTAAAGTAGCTTTTCCATCACCACCACCTACCATACAAACCACAAGTGCTTGAGGCAAAGCAAAAGGCATTAAGGAAGTGAAGTCTTTGTATATGGTATAGAAACAAATGAAACACATTAGATTTAGAATAGAATAGAGCTGGAAGGTACTTTGGAGATCTTCTAGTCCAATCCCCCTGTTCAAGCAGGAGAAATGTAGGTAATGTGTCAAAGAAACAAATCAAGCTATAAAAGACATTGATGTACAATAAAGACCTTCCTTTGTAAGACTTGAGAAAAGACAGACACACTTAAAATGTTTCATCTCCTTTCCCATCTATTTCTTTAAGCTTGCAATTGTAATGAAGTACTTCAGAATACAGTACAGCCCTATTGCTTAACAGTTCCTGAAAGGGCTAGTTTTTGTACATTAAAAGACATTGCTTTGCACAAAGGAAAAGCATGGTTTCCTAAAGTTGAAAAGGACGCAAAGACGCTATGCTAAAATGCTAATGAAGCCTAAAATTTTATGCAGCAGTTCTCTACAGCCAAACTGACATCCTCCGATTATTCATTCTTCTTAATGTCCATTCTTAAAGTTGCCAAGGTTGAGAAACACTGCTTTACCCTTTGCACTGCGAACCAGGATAAAGCTCCCGCCCCGCATAAACCTATGAAAAGTCGCTATTTTTATGAAGCGCGGCAGTCTCGCCATTGTTGCGCGCGCATCCTCAATGTAAGCCAGAAAGCCGCGAGGGTTTTCGGACGGGGAGGGGCGAGTTGTCTGCTCTCGCGAGAGTCGCCGACCCGCGTGGGTCCTCCGCGTTGCCGCGAGAGACTTCCTTCCTTTCCTCGTTGCCCGGCCATCTTGGAGGGGCTCCTCTGGTGAGCGGGATGTGGGTCTTTGGAGGAGGGGGCCGCCTTGAGGGTGGGGTGCGTTTGGCGGGTGGGAAACGGCTGTGCTCGGCCGCAGTGTTGACTCTCTTCCTTTTGCGCAGGCAACGGCAGGGCCGACGTGAGCCGGCAAGATGGTGGCCGCCAAGAAGACGGTGAGTGAGCGTGCCAGCCAGCCGGCTGACCTGGCAATAAAAGGGGATCTCGAGGCCAGAGACAAGCGCTTGTGGAGGGGGATAGCAGCACTCCAACGATTGGAGAGGCCTCTGACCCGAGGCGGCAAATTTCTGATCAAACGGGGTGGAGGGGTGCTCATCGGATGAGGCACGGATAACACCTAGGCAATAGCAATTGGGCCTTCTTCAGCCTCCTAGAAGGCGCGGTCCATTCCGGAGCTTTCTGCCCTAGTTATTGCTCCCATGCCGGGTGTCTTATGGAGTGGCAAAGACAGATGCTATGAGATGTAGAATCATGTAAGAATCACTTTGTAGGTCTTTGGGTGATGGCCGTAGGTTTTGCTGCGTGCTGGTACCGTCTGTGCTGAGTATGCGCACATACTGACAGGATTTATATGGAAGATCGCAGCTTTGTGGCAGTTGTGAGAAATGTTTGTTGCCGGGTTTTTTGCCACAGCTGTTTAAATAAGTTTGGATTGCTTAAGTCTTTGCATAATGTAAAGGTAAAATATACATTAAAATGTCCTAAAATATATATAATCAATAGTCAACTAAAATAAGGGTGTAGTGGCAAATAGAATTATACACCTAATTAGCTTTTGCTCCCAAACCACTTAGTTTTTAAGGCTGGCAGATACAATTGTATTCTAATAACTTTTGACTGAGCTTTTGAGAAAGAAAATTCAACAAATATTAGTTGTGTTTTAAATGGGGTTCTTTTTAGATATTTTGGTTGCATTCTAGTTCTATTAACTATTAATATTGAATAAAATGTTACATTTTGTGGTGATGTCAACATACAGAGCTAGGATCTAGGAGAAAGTAGACAAGGTATTTTGATACATTATGTATAATAGAAGAGCTAAGAGAGTCTTTGCACAATTTGGTGTTGTGTGCCAGTTGCATCCTTTTCAGGAATATGAGCCCTGTGGCCTGTCACTCATGTTCTGATCCTCTCTAGGTTGAATTATTGCAACATGCTCTTCGTGGGGCTACTCTTGAAGAGTGTTCAGATGCTACAACTGGTACAGAATGCGGCACTGGACACTTCTGGAGGCCTCTTTAATAGCACATGGGATACTGCTGTTTCATATATTACACTGGTTGTCAGTTGCATANGTAGAACAATTGACACAAAGAGAGAATAAACAAGTGAAAGCAAATAACGAGACATTTAGGTAGCACTCAACTACCACAAATGATATTAAATCTCCTAGACCAGATTAATACCTAACTGTCCTAAAGGAAACAGAAGAAGTTATCCTAGGGCCCTTTTGTGTGATCTTTGAGCAATCAGCGAGGTATGTCATGTCATAGAAAAAAACAAATCTTGTTGCTTTCTTCAAAAAAGGGGAAAATGGATTTGGGTAACTACAGGCAAGTTGGCTTGTTGCTAATACTGAACAAAACTTCTGATACCAAATAAATAATTAAGCAGTCATTTTGTAAGCATTTAAAAGAGATAAAAGTATTTTCTTCTACATACTGTGTTGATTAGAGTACACTTAACATATTGTATTATAATATGCACCTACAATATTGTATCAATTTCTGGGCATTACAAAGACATAAACAAAATGAAAGTGTCCAATGGTGAGCAACCAAAATGGTGAAGGGGCTGGAAAGAAAAAGCAATAAGAAAAGTTTGGAAATCCTGGGTATGTTTAGCTTGGCGAAGAGAAGACTAGAAGATGATATAGTAACATTCTTCAAGTTCTTGAAGGGATGACATGCATAAGATGAGAAGACTTGTTCAGAGTTAGTCCAGAAGACAGATAAGGAAAAGATGGGTTTAAATCCTAAGGAAGTAGATTTTGATTGGACTTTAATGTTTTTGGTAAAAGTTGTTCAACCGTGAAATAGACTTCTTTAGGAGCATGACACCTAATCAGTGATGCTGATTATTCATTCCTTTTTTTAGCATGATAAATTATCTTCAGGGATGCTTGCTTACTTCTGCAGGTTCTTCTATCCTTGTTTAGTATGAATCCTTCATGACACTTGCAGACATATGATTCACCATCACTGTCACAAAGTTGCTCACATCCATGGTCCGCCAGCTTACAAAGATCTGTACCTGAAAACAATTGACAATGCAATTTTTTAAACTGACAAAAAAATGTTAAAATAAGCATCTATTGCTCTGCTTCCCAACAGCTCCTACCTCATAATCCCTATTTTTATTCCTTGTCTTATTTCACAAATCTCAAAAAAACAAAGCAAAGCAAAACAAAACAAAACCTTAGCCAAGTCAAAATCTATTTCCTGCCAATAAGATACTGTTTAATTTATATAGAGGCTGTAGTTATTCAATAACTGCAGTTTTGTTATGAACAACAGGCTTCACTGACATTCACAGTCAACACATTTCCATGCCAGACAGGCTCAGAAGTTCTATCAACCTTTACAAGCACAGATATGTTTTCTTGGTCACATTCAAAATCAAATTTTCCAAAGTCTTCTCTCTGTTGAATTTGGGAGATTTGAGTCCATTTGAAACAAAGAAAGAAATTGTTCACCAAAGGCAGAAATTGGAATTTCACATTTTTTCAAGGCCTGAGAATCAACTAATTCAAATTTTCAGGAAGAAAGAAAAATCCACATAAAGAAAAGCAATAAAAACATTTGTTCTAAGAATGCTATTTATTTTTAAGAAAAAAAATGAACATTTCAGCCAGGAACCTGTATAAGACATTTTTCCTATTGTTAGTTAATGTTTGTTGTCTTTACTAATATCTCTCTATTCAAGGTCAGGAATTCTGTGTATTTCAGGTAGTCTTTTATGCGTATCCTAAGATTTCGCATGAGAGTTTTTAATTTCTTTCATTTATAATCCATCTCTTTTTTATGGAGTCTATGGGATAGTAAACTAGTCTTTAGGGGATCAGTACCATCTAGAGGTCTAACTGGAACATTGGACATGCTTTAAAAGCCTTTCTTTTCCTTAGTGATTGAATTTTTAAAAAGACACCTATTTTTTTAAATAAAGTTTTATTTTGTTTATCTGTGATGTAAGTAAATTGAAGAGCTGGTATTTCTAGTTACTTACCTTCATTTCTTTCTTTCTTTTTCTGATTTTTATTTTTTCACTGCTATTTTATCAATTTGAGATATATTGATACACACACTGGGAAACCAGTGCCAAGTATGGCACCCCCAGAAGATTTTGTAGATGGCAGCAGTGGTAATTATCAAGCAGCTTTGAAGAACAGAGTAAGAGGTGGGACAAGGATGAGCATTCTCAATGGTATTCTGGGAGAATATGTTTGAAATTTTCAGACTTTTACTGTGTAAATTCACCCATGCTACAAGTTTATTAATTTATTTTGTGCAATACATATTTAAGGGCAAAAAGATATAGAAGCGTTCAACTAAAAGCAAGCTTACGTTTGCAGGCTTTCCCATCACTCTGAAGCACATATCCTTCAATGCACTGGCAAATGTAAGATGTTCCAGTGTTCACACATAAATGTTCGCAGCCATGGTCATTCAGCAAACAATAATCTGCTCCTNCCCCGCCCCCATTGATGGATATTAAGCAATATAAAGATTTGCATAATTATTTCTGTATTAGAAATATTAACCTGGACAGGGTAGAATTAGTACATGTGTGGTAAATGTGGCTTTAAAGTGTCACTAAAACTGTTAACCTTCTCTACACATTCTGCAATGAAGAAGTATTATTACAATAAAAATGACACGTTAGCTTTTTTTTCTGGCAAGGGCAGAGTGTAAAAGAATCAAACTAAATAAAACATCATGCACAGTGATAATTTCAAACCTTCAGAAAGTAAATTCATTGAATGAAGCCGATTTGTTGTTTCCTGGTAATCCTTTAGATCTAGAAAAAATGAAATAAAATAAGACATTGCCAAATGCAGTCAGATCATAATAGTGAGCTACAAACAAGCCAGATATTGCAACAGATTTTATAATTTAAAAATTGTTGCTAGAATAAGTTTTGAATATGAATAAAATTAGGGATAGTTGGTTTGTTATTTGTATGTTTAGCTATTCAGATGTGAACTGAGTCATTCATATTGATTTTATAATCTTAGATATTGGAAAATGTTTCCAGGATCACAGAGCTTTATGGAAAATATGTAACACAACTTTTTTTTAAAAAAAAAGCCTCATGATTCTTTGGAAGCACACAGGAAATAATCTGAAGGACCAGAGAGTCCATAACTCTAGTATTTATTGAATGAGAAGACAGTCCATGGAGATGGACTGTGTCCCATTAGCCCAGCTTGAATGACCAACGATCAGAGATGATGGATGCTGACTTCAGTAAGCAAATGAATCTTTTTTAGACCAAGGATGGCTTTGAGAACATAGAAACTTGCACAAATGGAGTGTATGGAAAGTTTCTTTTTATTAATGAATATCCATCCCACATACTTTTATAAATAGTCCTAGATAATTTTTAGCAATATATCATAATGCAGTGTGTAAAAAGGGAAGGATTTTCATGGAGTTTTGAGCTCTGCATGTCATTTTTGTTAAAGTGAGTGAAGTAGTAGATACTTTAATTTATGACTTTGGCCTTAAAATAAAGTTATACACTTCTTAAGTGATAGATTACAGAAATATTATTTGTCCTACTAGTGTATTGCTCATTGCGTTTTATATATATTCCAGCAGTTATGCAGATGTTCAGAAAGAATGGGCAGAATTATTTATTTTAATGTCTTAGTCATCCAAATCCAATGGATCCCCAAATTTCTATCTGTGTTAGTTTTATATTGTTCCTTGTGTAGAATATCATGTGGTGCTTACTTAGTACCTTCACAGATTCTTTTCTGCAGTTTTTCAGTGATCTCTTCCATGGCTTTGAATTCCTGAGCATAAAAAATATGTTTTTCAACAGGTTCAGAAGCAATTGCTCGTAATTCTTCCTCAATCAATTTCCCTATTCCAACAGCATATATAGTGATTCCTAAAAATGAAACAAGTTTAATTTCATAATATAGTTCAAGAATGAGATATAGCATTTAAGCACTATTAATTAATAGAAAAGAATTGTATTAAAAAATTTATCTACAGAGTGTATTTCAAAAGCAACAATAAAATGCAAGAGTTCTAATTCAGATGAGACGAGTTACATTTAATATCACAGAAATCAACTGGGTAAATTAATTCTGATTAAGCTAAGTCCTATAATTTTTATTTATCATGATCAAAACCAAAATATAATGTCCCTCACATTTCTTACAAGTTGATTACATCTAATTGCTTTGGTGTAAAAGTATGTATTTAATCATTGCCTATTATTGTTACTATGATTGCAGAATCATAGTCTGGAGTCTCAAATGTAAAGAAATTTGGACTAGCATTCTATGGACACATTTATTCATAAGGGCTCATGCTTATAATATTTATCTGAATTAGTTGTTATAGATCACTGTATTCTACAAATTAATTTCCTCTAAATACATTTGGATTAAAAATCCCCAGAAATGTGGCTTTGGAAAAGGAAAATTTATATTGAGTCCAGTGTAAGATTTCCAAACCTTCCTTAACATCAGACAAGTATTATGTATTTCACTCCTAGAAATTCTCCAGAATCCTTCTTCTAAAAGTTAATAAAAAGCTCTAGATTTAAAAAAAACAATATCGTACATAACTTAGTAATAGCAGTGTTGCTTTTGTAGCTTTCTTTTGTATTTCTTTTACTGTTTACACTTCTAATAAATATTCATCCTACCACTTTGCTTTGCTTTTGCGGCCCATTCAGAAGCATTATCTTGGGCACGTCCATCTGTAAACACAACTGACACCCTGGGAACATTTGCTGAGATGCGCCTGGCTCCATCTGCTTCAGTAAAGCTTCTCTCAGTCATCTGTTTCAGTGCAAGCCCAGTCATGGAGCCTTTACCCATGTATTTAATTTGTGTCACTGCTTTCTTCATATCTTTGGCTGTGTTGAATTGTTTCAGTGTGAATTCTGTGCGAACCTGGCTGGAATATTGCAACAAACCAATACGTGCAGCTTTGGGAGATATTGTAAGAAAGTCCAAAATTCCCAAGACAAATTCCTTGACAATTTCAAAATTATTTTCTCCTAGACTTTTTGATCCATCTATCACAAATACCAGATCAATCGGGCCTTCATTACATCCTGTTAAAATAAAATGAACAAATGAAATAGTGGAATATTGTCAGTGAAAGAATCTATTTCTCCAACTTAAGGATTTATCACATTCATAATGTCCAATGGAGTTGCAATGGTACTTACATAAAAATAAATTAAAAGTTATCAATATCAATATATTTTTGCTAAAAATGATGGAACATCAAAACAAGTTCTTGTTTTTTAATCTCTGCAATGAGAATCTGATGACTGGAGAAAAAAATGATCAGGCTGAATGAAAAGCCTTTCCTCATTTATACTTTCAACAGGAAAAACATCCTTAAGCAGTATTTATTCATTTATTAATCAAATTTATATAGTTGCCTATCTAGCAAGAAATAACTGGGTTTTCACAACACTTTTTTTTAAACCTTACAACATTGCTTTACTATGATTACTTTAGGGCAGTGATAGCTAAATTGCTGCGTGCCAAACGCACACACACAATGGCACATGCACACATACACACCCATAATACAATGTGTGCATAACCCCGTGTGCCTCCCCGTGCATGCATGTATGCCCCCTAATTGCGCTTCACCCTGTGCATGCACGCATGTCCCAGTGCTCCCCAGGCATGCACGTGCAACCCCCCCACATGTGCCCTCTGCACATGCATGTGTGACCCCCCCTGCATGCATCCCACCCCCATGCATCTGCACGCAACCCCCTTGCATTCCCCTCGCACATGCATGCACGTCTCCCACATGCGCCCCGCCCTTACGTATGCATGGCAGAGACCAGAAAACCAGCTGGCCGGTGGGAGGCGCACTACATACACGATGGAGCTGAGCTGGGGCAATGGCTCACATGCCCCCAGAGGGGGCTCTGTGTGCCACCTGTGGCACACATGTCACAGGTTCACCATCACGGCTTTAGGGTGTTGCAAGTACAGCTCCTCCTTCTAGTC